AGTCATGTGGGAATGCACTCTCCTATTAATAATAATAATAATAATTAATAATAATTGCTTACACTTATATAGTGCTTTTCTGGACACTCCACTCAAAGCGCTTTACAGGTAATGTGGACTCCCCTCCACCACCACCAATGTGCAGCATCCACCTGGATATGCGACGGCAGCCATATTGCACCAGAACCCTCATCACACACCAGCTATCCGTGGGGAGGAGAGCAGAGTAATGTACCCAATTCATAGAGGAGGATTATTAGGAGGCCAGGACGCCGGGGTTACACCCCTACTCTTTTCGAGAAACGCCCTGGGATTTTTTATGACCACAGAGAGTCAGGACCTCGGTTTTACGTCTCATCCAAAGGACAGCACCTGTTTACAGTATAGTGTCCCTGTCACTATACTGGGGCATTAGGACCCACATGGACCGCAGGGTACTGGTACTGACCAGGCTCACACCTGCTTAGCTTCAGTGGGTTGCCAGTTGTGAGTTGCAGGGTGATAAGGCTGCTGCACCATGGGGGGAGGGTCTTTAATTGAGTGCCCTATATCAAATGCTCATGCTGCTGGTGTGGTAGTTCGTTGCAGAACCTTGCCAAACATACAGTTTAGGTGCTGAAACACTCTTATCAAAGAGAGTATTTTTTCTCCTCTTTCATCAAGCTGATCGCTCACCCCTCAATCAATCCTAGAACAGTTTCCACATCTTATCAAATAAATATTTGAATATCCCACAATATATAATTTTTAAATACAAAATTACACCAAATTTCTTTGTTTTGTATGTTGCATGTTTCCTTTTCAGAGAGAGACAAGCAAGACGGAGAATAATGAGTCATCACAGCTTTTTACGTGTGCTGACCAACAGCAAGACAAAGCACTCTAGACATGTTGCAGAAGTTTACAGGAACATTTATTCTGTTCCAATTGTCCTGAATACATTCATTGTGTACTGTATATCATCTACAAATCTTAACATCTCCTGGGGTGGGATCCTGTAAAATGGAAAAAAAAATTCCAAGAGTTTAACTGTGTGAATCTTGCTGTGAAGTATAGACAATCATTCATTTTATGTCACATATAATCTTTAAATAATCTATGTTGTAAATATTAAAAGTTATAGTTTTAGATTATTTTTGCTACAGTTTATTTCAAATGCATATCTTGTGGTTTCATAGACAAAGTAAACATTTTGATTTATTCAATAATATAGTTATTAATGTAGATCTGAGAAATAATCAGGATCTCTGGGCCCATTCACAGGATTGCTTTTATTCACTTTGACTTGCTTCTTATGGAGAGCAATGTGAACAAGTGAAGTTTAAAAAGGAAATGAACCTGTCTACACTGCATGATCATGACAAGTAGTATCAAACATTTCAACACAAATAGATTGAGAAGAGTGAAAAATAGATAATACATTTTTAATCAGTACTTCAAAGCTATAATTGTAACAAAACATTAGCAGCCTGTGTAGCAAAAGAACCAACAAATATCCAGTAGATGCTGGTTAAAGTGCTGACTGCTAGGTGAGATCTTGTGATAAAAAAACAACTAGTTACTAACAGCAGCTAAATGGGCCCAATGGCCTTTTTCTTCACATCCATGTTTGTATACATCTCATGTTCTTGTAACAGGTAAATAAAATAAATATAAATATAATATATTTGCTCACCTGGATGCTACAGTTCCAACATTCCAACAATGTTCAGGGGTATTTGCAGTTTCTGGGTGTTACATCTCTACTTATCTTTTCTCAGCATTACTAATAGATAATCATTATGCAGTCTGTTCATTCACTTACTTTTTATTAACATCAACTTATGTTGAATGTATAAGAATCACAGTTTATAAACAAATCTGACATCCCTCTACAGTATGTGTTATCTACTGCAAAACCTACGTAGAAGACGTCACCCACAAGTAAAAGTGTTTGATTGAGAAGAAAAAAGCTTGTATGACATTTATATCCCTTTTAAATCAGACTTTTTGTAACTGTGTAACTATTTCTCCAGCAGGGTATGAATTCTGTAGGGCCTAGATCAGGATTGAGCAGAATAAAACTAAAAAATAACATTAAGATAAAACCAAAATAGAATAACAATATGAAAAAATAAATGTTTTAATTGGATTATGGATATTTACACGAAATCACCCAGTTCAACATGACTTCCTGAATGTCTCACGTGTCTCTTTGCAAGGCCTCCTTCTGCAATTTTGTTGCCGAGGCAACAATGCACAGCATTCTTCAAACAAAGTTTTGTGATGTCTAGGATATGGACTGTCAGAAATAATAATTCTTGGCAATGACAAAAACATCCAGTAAAACAGCTATCTCTCTTATTTCTATACTGTAGTTCAACATGTTACACACTGTCTGAATCCAGAATATTACAGTACCAATACAAGCAGAACAAAAACATATGTCTTATACACATTTTATTACTATCATTCTTAGAAATGTTGTTTCTTTTTAAACATACAGTATTCTAACATCTAGAGTATGTTAAATTATCATTAGCATTATTATTGTTTTCAGAAAGTTAAAGCTGTGATTAAAGTGTCACCAGGACATTTATGTGAAAATATACAGTATTTTACTGCAGTATGTAGTAATGATCAACAATGTGGTTAAATAAGGGTCCCCTATGAGTCTTATGAAAGATAATTTAGTATTACTGAAAACCTGCATAGAAGTGTACTAAATAAATATAATGTATGGAATATAGAATCATTAAGTTAATGCTTCTTTTAAACAAGGTGATTCAAAAACCTGAAATGAGAAAACCTATAAACACAATTTATAGATTTGAATTATTAAAATAAGTTATCATTTGATCACTTAAACAGTAATATAAACACACTTTAATTCATTGGGAGTAAAGAAGCATAAATTCTCTACTGGGAAAAAAAATCTGTTTTCTAAAAGGGTTCTTCAAAAAATATCCAAATGTCTAATATCAATAACTTACTTAAGCAAAATCATAATTCATAATACTGTAAACGTCTAGCGGCTACATCATACTAATGATTAATAGATACAAATGGATTAATGTAAATACTCTAAAATAATAGATACATTAAATTTTAGATGATTTTATCTGGAACTAAATTAAAAGTTATGTCTAATCTATTTTACAATTAAATAATTACAAATGTGTGTAATATGCATGAGAAAATTATTTGAAATTCACAACAATAAAATATAGTCCCAATTATCTCTTAGATAATTTTGAGTCTTAACTAAACTCATCCTTTCAAGAAATCTGCATACCACTTTCATCACAGATGGAATCATGACAGACGCCTCTCACATCTGACATTGATGGGACCATTGTTACGGCTGTCCGAAGGCCATGCCGTGGAATGGCCAGGAGAACAATAAAGACCCTATGCACAGCTAAAAAAGGGGGAAACACAGAGGTTAGCCCAGGCTCAGGGGTCAGACGATGTCGGTATAGAAACCTATGCCCCCAGGCCACGGACGTAGGAGGACCTGCTGCTAGACAGGTCTCAGGACATCTGTACCCTCAGTGCTGAGCCAGGAGCAGAGCAGACACAGGAAGTAAATAGGCTCCAAGACAAAACACACTGGAAAGACGTGAATAAGGGAACTTGGAACAGGACAGAAGAGCAGCGCCCTCTAGGTGTACAGGGTATGACAACCATACCTTCATCATGTTCATCCAGGACTGGAGTTGCTCTCACCTCTCCAGCCACAAAGCTCTACCAAAAAACAAGCAGCTCTGTGCCCGCCACACCATTCTCATTTTACTTTCAAATCTCCTGATGCTTCCCAAAAACTGACAACTGCAGCAGACATCTTCCATGGCAGTTTTTTCCCCCTTCTCACTCTCTTCCCAATCTTCCCTGCTCTGTTATCCTCCCCTTCTTTTAGCATGTATCTTTTTCTGAATGGATGTGTTCTAAAAAAATGAAAATATACAAAGTGGCTTTAAAATGTGTATTTAAAACAAAATACTGTATACAAGTAAAAAACTCAATTGCAAATTCTGTTTGAGGGCATCTTTTATTTTCCCTGCTCTTTCCGAGCGTCCTGGAGATTGTTGGTTAGAGGTGTATTCATGTTACTACTTCATTATTATTATCATTTAAATATTTGATACACTGTGATATTTATATAATATATTTATTTATACTGTATACAGTATGTGTTATATAATATATTAACATAAATGTGAATATAATTTTCATATTATTTTATTATTAGAGAAAGTAATTATTAATCGAAGGGATACATATTTATGAAGAAGAGGGATACTATTGTGTACTTTATTTTAAGCTGCCACTACTAGCTACTGTATATACAGTAATATACTGTATTTATATTTTCAAATTAATATTGTCTGTGATGTTCAGAGACATGATACTTCTGTTATTTTTATTTTTGGCTACAAAAATGTCCCTTTAGTTACATAATTCCATAAGAATTGGATTTAAAGAAGTACAGTACAGTAGGGAAACAGATTAAATTAAGCAACCAACTCACCGCAAGTGTGCCTATCGATCGTCTTTGGCCAATGAATTACACAGCCAAGGTACACTGCACCTTGCTGTAGAGATTCTAACTTAGCAATGAATGTTAATGTGCATTCTGAGTGGCAGCATTTGTGCTAATCTATTCTTAATAAGAGTAGCCTTTCATATAAAAATCATACAGAGTTTCTTACAAGCTTTTCCAACTAACTTCAAATTCTGAGGACTACTGCATTAATGTAACATTAATGCAATAATGCATTAATGTGATAATGTAATTCAGGACTGATTATGCAAGTGAGATTGCAATATTCAGTGCAGTTGAAAATACGAAAAAAATATATTTAAATCAGCAGTAACATTGCCTTTTTAAATCTTAAATATAACTAAAAAAAAGCTCCGGTGATGTTCATCTAAAAAAGACGTGTGAATCTGTGTGTTTTTTCAAGTTTCCTGTCTGTTAGTCCTGTAGTTCCACATCTTCATTTGCACACTATCTGACACAGAAACAGCATCTTCTTAGGCGCTGTAGAATCATGATGGTTCTTAAATCATTTGTTACACTGTGTGAGTACAAATTATTAGTCTTAGAAATGTGTGCTTGATGCTTCCTTTTCTCTCTGTTTCAAAATTTGTAAACTCATTGTGTTATTCAACATTTTTTTGCTTTGTTAAAGTTATAGCTTGGGTTGAAGTTGGACCGAGTAATTCAGGTATGTTATTCTTTTGCATATTTGCATATAAACTTGAATTATTGTGTAATTTACAAACCTTTCAAGTGGTTGTTCAAAGTGCTTAGAGATTTTTGGTTAAATTAATAAAAATCTTGAATGATGTCATCAAATTTCAAGCTCATTTAAAAAATAAAATTGAAGACCTCAGAAACACACTAATTGGAAGTACAACACAGGAAACTCTTCTACTCAATTGCAAGATCAGTGCTTTTTTACTAAAAAATAATCAACAATACAAATTGTCTTGTTCGATAGCAAAATGTTCCCCCTTATCTTTACAGTTTGTTTGAATCTTTAATAATCAAAAGAGGAATTTAGCAGTTGAACACGGGACATTTTTTTCATAGAAAATACATGGAAATTAACCAACTGAACACATATAACAGAGTATTATATTACTTTTTATCATCACAGCTTATAATAAAATAAAGCTATATATTTTATAAAGTTCTAGATTTTATATTTATATTTGAAGTCATAAAGTCAAGTCATTTTTGCTACTGAACCAAAAAATAAATCTTTCATATTTAGAATTGAAAATGGCATTGAACTTGCTCAAAACCTTTTGGAATTTAAGGTGGTAGTTACAGCTACAGATGTTTTTAAATGTTTAAATAAATGAATTCATACAAGGCTTCTACTAATTCTAATATCTGTAACTTCTGTTTTTCTATGAATTTATTAAGGTGTAATTAATGTTCATGTCTCAATAATTTGGAATCATAAGATTTGACATTAATTAATAAAAATCAGTAATGTATTACGGTTTATGAGAGTATTTAAAGAAAGTCTTGATGAGTTGCTAGGAAAACTAATCTTGCTAATGCATATAGAACTGCAGATAAATTACATAGACTTCATTCTCCAAGATGATTCATGAGAACTTCTCCTTTGTCTTACACACAGATCTGCTTGTACATCCTCTTCTTGAAGTGAACCCACAGCACATTAACATAGAGGAGTTTATCCAGATTATCTGCAAACATGAAAGAGGAACATCATGTCAGTTCTATACTGACCAGACCCCAGCCCATTTCCAGTCTACACCAGGTAAAACTGGTGTCTGTCAGCTCTCTGTGTCTGGGATAGAGCTACTGCAAGGAGAGGCTCATCAGAAGAAAACTGAGGTGAATCTCAGTTGTTCTGTTGAACTGAACACGAGAAACCAATCAACTATCTCTCAGCGCAGTGAGACAAAAACAATTGAGGTTATTGGTGAGTCTTTTTCTTTATATAAACCTGTACTTGTAGATTTGTTAATTCTCTTCTCTTATTAAACGTGGTATAACGAAAACTTTAGCTTCTTCCAATGATTGTAGTTTTGGATTAATAGGCTCTAACCACAATGCATTATAGCCCTTCTCTTACACATTAACATTCTTTACATTTTCTAAGAATGACAAATATAAACATACTGTAAAATTGAAACATTTACTGAGCATAATTCCATGTTGAGTAGAACTTATTTTTAAATATTTTCTGGGATCATTCTTAAATTTACTTACTTTGCCACCTCATGCCTGAATGGGATTCTGTGATTGTTGATGAGAGATATTGTCCCTTTTTTACTAACAGTCAGCTTTGGAAGAGTTCATATCCAGGCCAGTAAACCTTTCAACAAAGAAGAGGATCTCAAACTACGCTGTGAAGCAGCAAAAGGAACACATTGCCATTTCTATGTTGATCGGAACAAACTCCCTTTCAGATCAGCGCCTTACAGACAGGAATACAATCTTTGTCACCTCTCTGTGTCTGGGAGGGAGCTGCTGGTAGAGAGCGGTGGTGTGACCATCGCTCAGGTCTTTCTGAGCTGTGCTGTTGAGCTGGAAATAGAGGGATATACTGTTACCTCTCAGCGCAGTGAGCTCATCCCAGTCGAGGTGGAGGGTAAGAAACAGTTTTAAATAATCAATTTCAATGTATTTCTGTACGTGTATTTTGTACTGCATATGACTAAATGTACAGTAAAGGCTTTGTAAAGCATTCACTCCCTGCTGATGATGTCCTGTTTTGTTGAATAAATAATGTATGTATATTTAAGAGAATGTTTTTTAATCAAACTTGAATTCTCAGACTGAATTATTGTATGGAAAATCCTAAATGGCAGCAAAACTGCAAAGGAAATATTAAAAAAATATATTATTGCGTATGTATTCACTCCACTGAACCAATACTTGATGGAAGAACTTTTAGAAACAATTACAACTGCATCTTTTTTCAATATTTCTTTATGAACTATTGCAGACTGGGATGGTGTAATTTTCTAATGGAATCAAGTCAAGACTGGGCAGCTTAAGGACATCCACTTTCTTTTGTTTTATGTCGCTCTAGAGTAGATTTGGTCTGGTGCTTTGAGTTATATTCCAGCTGAAAGGTGAATTCTCATCCCATTTGTCTTCTAAAAGTTTTCTGTACATTGCTCCATGAGTTTTTCCCTGAATCATCCCTCAATATAATGCTACACCGCTATGTAGAGATAGTGTTGACTGGGTATTGTGCTGTGCTGGGTTTGCTCCAGATGTAACACTTTGCATTTTGACCAAAATGTTCCAATTTTGTCTTGGCTGACCACAGGAGGAGGTGACTTTTTTGTATTGTATCATTATTCCTGTATATTTTTAGGATTATTTTCCTTAAGCTTCAGTAAAAAAAAAGTGTGTATCGTTAAGAATGTTTTCTACTGAACATTAATTGAATGACTTTTGAACTAAATTTAAAAATTTGTTAGAACAAGTTTGAAATATGCTTTACCACTTTGGCACTTCTTTCCTATAGGTTTGGAGTACAGTGATGTAGCTACAGCTGTACCCATCACCACTAGTGAGTAATGCTGTCTCAATACGTACATGTACTGTATCTACAGTATCTGTATGTAGCACAAAGATGTACAGTAGTGCATTTCGGTGTGAGCTACCATCTTGTCTTTATAAAGATGTCATTATACAATATCAATGTATTGATAAACATACTGTATGTAAGAGCTTTTGAAAGCTGAAAGATAGGTCTTTGCAGGTTTGATTTAGTTTCCAGTAAGATAGTCTCTTCAGTACTACAGTACATCCACTTGATCACTGTGCATAATAAATGTTGGCTGTGTACTTCTGTGTTGTATAGTACATACTTGCTACATTCTGAGCAAGTTTTCTCAAAAAGTGTTAATTTTTTGTAACATGATGGATAGATGAAGAGTAATTGGGTTTAAGATTTTAACTCTACAGGTTATCTTATGTTACTGTTATCAAGTTGTTTTATTTGTTTTGGGTTGTGGCATTGGTTGGTCTCCCAACCAATATCGATTTTATTTGACGAGCGGTGGGGCTTGTTACTGTAAAAATAATTTATTCTTTATAACCTATTTATAGAAATATTACACTATATTCCTCTTAGTATTTCTTCCTTATTATGGAGCACATTTGTAACTATTGCCATAGTATGGTAACATATGGCTGGGTGATCAAACAATATTTGATTGTATTAAGTTTATCTTGGCAGATTTCCTAAAACATAAAGCTGCCAAGCAACTATTTTACTGTGGAATAAGAGAGTAGAATTATAAATAGTTTTGTATAGATATCACATTTTCATAGTTATACATGAACAGTTTCATACTGTACTTATACTTAATTTGGATGCTTTTGAATTACAGATGTTCAGAACAGCACTCCATCAAATTTCAACACCACTGGACTTGGTGAGTACAGAGCTGGAAAATTAACTTTGAAGCATTTGGTCAACTGAGACTTGGTGGCTTGTGAAAGTTCTTGAAGTACAGCTGTTAAAGTGAATCACCAAAAACGTTGTGTCAGAACACTGCACACCAGTGATGTACGGGTCGGCTTTTTTTTTACCCGCACCCGCCCACGGTTGTGAGAAACTAACCCACACCCGCCCGACACGATCTAAAACCTTTTTTTCTGAACCCGAGCCCGCCTGACCCGCAGGTGTGAATCAACCAGCACGTCTCTTATGCACACACAGCACCCACAGCCATATAAAAATCACGATGTGCTACATTTAATGTACTAAAGAATAATTTTAATTTAAAAATTATTTGTTTTTAACAACCCATGTAAATATTTTAGAGGGTTTTTTATCTACACATTTTTTTCTTTGTTTAGTTTCAGTACTCACACCAACTGTGGCTCAAACAGAAGGTAAGATGCCATTTCTCCATGAGGTCTCATTAAGTACAGATGGAGCCATTCAAAACAAGCGGGCGATACCGCATTATTTTGCGGTGCGCTTTACGCAGTCTACCGCGAGGTACCGTAAATTCTCGTATAGTACCGCAAGTAAAATAATAGTATC